GGTTGCAGCCCTTCGATGCGTTCTGCACCGTCGACAGCCACAGCAGTGAGCTGCTTGGCTCCTGTCAAGAGGGCCTTTGAAAGCTCGTGTCTGGCATGAGGAGAAGGTGGCTTGTCGTTGGACTCCTCGGCCTGGGCCAGAATGACAGCACCCAGAACACAAGAGTCAAGCTCACAGTTCCTCCAGGTCCGCGCGGTTGGCTTCCGGCTTTCCAACCGCCTGTCATTGTTGCAGACAGCATGGATTCTCATGCTCCAACCCACGCACTAGGAAAACCGTAAAATTGTAAGAAGGAGCTATTTCAGTTGGCGAACCACTTGCCTACCATCCAACGTGTGTGCAAAGAGTTGGCAGACACACATCTCTGCGTGTTTCCTGCTGCGACAAGCTTTTGCGAGACCGGCGGGACGGGGCAGATGGCGACGAGGCAGAACGAGCAGGAGGTGTCTCAGGGATTGCCTGCTTGAAAATCGCCAGGATTTCCCACAAAATGGACGGGTTGCTGGCCTCCGGCAATCCCGGCACTGCCGAGCTGAGGTCCACGCACCCCTGCCGGGCATCCACATTTAGAAGCTTTGGACGACCAGAAAGCTGAAAATGCGGATGCCCGCTGTAACTGGTGCCAGCCTGCAGCTTCTCCCCATCCGGCATGGCCAACACAGGAGAGTTGAAGTCCGGACGCCCCTGCAGGACAGATTGCGCAGACTCAAAATGCAGATGCTGCTCCAACCTGTGCCTCAGTCTCAGGCACACCGGCAGGCTCCTGACAGAGAGTTTGAAAAGGAGAAGCTTGGTTCAGGCAACGGGCACCGTGCCTGCTGCAGCCGGTCACCTGGGTGCTCTGCGGCCATGAGACCTGCCGGAACACTAGCAAAAACAGCAAGACTGGACTGCAAGTGTCTACGGATTCGAAGCAACGTTCTTCCATGCTTGAAATGTCGCAGATTTTCAAAGCAGATCGGTTGACAGTCTTTCGCGAAAATGCTGACTTAGCCGCTCGCTGCGGCTGCAGTGTGCGAGGCTTCCTGTGCTGCACAGGTGGCACAGCCTCTCCCACTGCCACATCACAGGTCTATAATCCGGACGCTTACGCTTGCGACTCTGGCGGGGCTTCGACGCAGCATCTTCCACACTGGAGCCACCAGACTGCAAGTCCAAAGCATCAGGAGCAGCCATAGCAGAGGGCAGTACTTCTGGCACCCAGGACTTGAAAGCCAAGCGAGTCTGCAAAACGAAAAAAACATGAGGACACAGGCCTCTTCTGCGAAAGTGCCAACAGGAACATTGGACATCGCCGATCTGGGCGGGCCTGGACCTGTGCTGCTCGTGAATAACGCAGCAGAGATCCACCCAGCTTTCACAAAAGGCCTGGTACACCATTTTTTTGCCATCTGGCATGTCTTTGACCAGACCATGTTGCATCAGCAAATCCTGCAGCTCCTGAAGGTTTTTTGTCTGCAACTGTTGCCAGCACCGATCCACCATGGCCTCGTCCAGGGCTGCCGGTGTGCCGGTCTTCATAAAGAAAGCTCGAGTGCGGCCCTTCTGTCTTTCAGCAATGCATGGCATGCGCTTCGCATCCTGCACAAGGCATTGGATGCACGGCAGCATTTTGACGCCCAGTCCAGCTGCACGAATGCGGAACATCTTGGGCATCGTGTCCATCATCCAATCATCTGGGCAGGAAGGAAGAGAAGCTGTGTTGCCTGCCGAAGTGAAGAGATGAAAGCTGTTTTCTTCGTCCGATCTGCCTGTCCACAAGTCCAAAGCTTCGACCAAGCTCGAAAACACCTGAAAGGCGCATGTAAGAGGGATCAAGAAACCATCCTCGTTTTGGATCTCTGTTGTCCCTTTAACCCCGAAATGCGGATGCCCCAAAGTTTGGGCCTAGACTGTGCCTTGGGGTTCCAAGATTGGGGATTGAGGGTGTGGCTCAAAGGATGGAAAGACCAAAAACCCCCTCAAAGCCACCTCCTTCACGCTGCGATCTGGAGCATCGCACAAGGTCCGCTTCAAGTGTTTGTGGCTTTGTTCAGCCTGCTGTTGCGAGCTGGGATGCCCTTGGCAAAGTGGACTTGCCATTCCAAACCACCATCGGCCAACAGCAGCTTGATCGACACCGTAATCGGCTTTTACGAAGCGGCCGGTGTACGTGTACTGCTTTCTGAAGTACTGCTCCCATGTCTTTTCTTCCCAGCCATCACGAACGCGATCCAAAAAGACTCGGAGGGCCACGACATGCAAAGCCAGGGTTGGCAGCCCAGCTATGACGTAAAGGTACCTGGTGACAATGGGGATCCCTCTGGGGCCAGTCAACCGAGGCACCGCTTGTTTCTTGCCATCCTCAGTCTTGATAGACTTCTTGCCCAAGTTGCGCATCATTTGTTCCATGCCCGGGACATGCACGACGTCCCTCAGCACCGATCTGCCAGCTGCGCCCAGGCCAGGGGCCCAGTCCGTGTGCCACTGGCAAGCCGGCGGCAGTCCGAGCTTTTGCATTTCAGCATGGACTGCTTCCAAGGACAACCGGTACGTCTCTGGCTTTTCTTTGGGGTGTCGACAGAGAGCGACTGGCCAACCCGACTTGCGCCACCGGCCAGACAATCGTCGATAAACTGCGCATGTCAAGCACGTGTATTTCCAGCTGTCAACCTCGACATCAAACGTGGCATCCGCAGCCAAAAAGATCTTTGGCAAAAATCCACCAGTGTGCAGCACCTGGAGCTCTCGCAAAACAGGCATCACCAGCGCCACGAAGGAGCCACTGGGAAGCACCCGCCACAACCACAGATTTTGGGCACTGTCGCTATGCGCTGCCACAAGCTCGTCCCACGCTTCTCGCTCCACAGGCACGACCTGTTGATGCCGCGAAGATTGCGGCCTGTTGTCACCGCCTGCTTGTACTCCGAGTGCCTTCGCACTCTTGCGGGTGTAATACCTCACGGAGTGTTGGTTCATCTGGAGAGATCGACCGAGATGGCGAGCAACTCGAGTCGGTGTGACACTTTCTTTCTTCTCGGCAAGATGAGCAACTGCCTGCTGCACAAGCCTTCTGCCTGGAATCGTTGCAGGCTTGTCGCCTTGCGCATCTGCCCTCACCTTGCGGGGAGTGCCTTGCTCACATGTTCCCGCCACCTGGACCCGCAGACGAAGGAGCACGTGTTTCTCATCTGGGCTCCAGGTGCAGGTCGCTTGAAACTGAAAGGTTGTGCCTTTGCCCTTCCAGCAGTGTTGGTGTTCAAAGCACCGACAGGTGGCTCGCAACTCTGCAGCCGAACGCCAAACCGATGATAGCATCCCAAGCTCGCCGTCATGCTTCTGCATCCATTGGCCACAGTAGGTCCGGAAAACCCTGTCCTCCACCACACTCTTGCATTGCCCAAGGACCAGCTGCACATCAAAGGATTGTTGGCCGCTGTCGCACTGTTGATATTGCTTGCGAGACCGCTTTGCCCTAGCAGCATCCGCTTCCTGCTCGCTGTCAGAAATCAACACGACCGGGGCAGCATCCCGCTCGCTGTCAGAAGTCAACACAACCGGGGCAGCATCCCGCTCGCTGTCGGAAGCCCCAGGGCACTCAGCTTCAACAGGGGCCACTGGCTCGCCCCCAACAGGGGTCACTGGCGCAGGGCGCTCGCCTCCAACAGGGGTCACTGGCGCAGGGCGCTCGCCTCCAACAGGGGTTCCAGGCGCGACAGGCATTGGTGCGTAAGCCGACACAGCTCTGAGAGCCGACACAGCTCTGAGACAAATTGGCTCGCCAACTCGGAAGCAGAATTCTGGCTGAAAGAAGAGGTTTAGCGGCTGAGGGTTCGTGCTTCGCAAAAATCCCCAAGGTCTACGTGGGTTTCATGGGTTCTTGATTCCGAACAGTAACGCAGTAGATCCTTGTTCGATCAGCCCTTTCACAAGCTACTCCGATTTTTCCAGAGACCCTTGCAACAGGGCAACCGCCTGAGCTCTCGAGCCTCTTGAGAACCAGAGCAAGAATCATGGCAGCGTCCCGTCCTGTCTGCCGTTGGGCCTCGTCGCCGGCGGCCAGGCGAAGACCAGTCGTGGGGCGCAGCAGCACCTGCCGGCAGGGCATCCGCATTTCAGAGGCAACGGAGCGCAAATACAACAAAATGCGGATGCCCGGGAGCTGTGCCTCCAAGCCGCAAGGCTGCTAGAGTTTCGCCCCTGCAAAACTCTCGAGCACTGCAGCTGCGGGGCCGTGCTTGCTGCAAAGGAATCAATCATACCTGACCACCCCTTTACCCACTGTTACTACACCCGTTATTTGCTGTTACTACCCCTTTACCCGCTGTTACTTGGAAGGCTTCCGGTTCATCATATACCGTAGACACGCCCCCGTATTTGGCGGTGTCATCATATATCTACAACAGGCCCCCTCATTGGCGATTCCGGTTCATCATATATCTTACGCCACCTTATTTAGCGATTCCGGTTCATCATGTATCTTAAACATGCCCCCTGATTTGGCGATTGCGGCTCCTTATATATCTACAACACGCCCCAAACACAATGATCGCATGATGGGTCTCAAAACAAGGAAACTCATATACTTTGAAGCAAGTTTGCACGGCTGAAGAACAAGTGCGACACTCCGACACCGCCGGTCGAGGGAGCAAAAGTTGCCGCGTCACAAAGCTGATCCGCGTAGGCCCTGAAGGTTTGCGCTCCCTCAGGATTTCGCCTTTCACAACTGGGCTGTTTGATTTTGGGTGAAAGATGGCAAGCGAGAAGCTCGAAAGCTGAAGAAACAGAAAAACAAAAAAAAACACGTCTTGCTTAGACCCTAATCAAGAGGCAGCACGAAAGTCACGTTCGGAAACCAACAGCGCGACTTGAACAACTTGCATGCAGCAAAAAGGAAGATCTCTGCCCTGCAAGACCCTGTCCGTTCGTGCTGGATTTCGGGCTTTGACTACAGATGCAGATGACTCTTCACTTGCCCTTCTTGAGCTAGACGCTCCTAATGAATGAAATGCCCGAGCGGCAGCAAAATATGTGAAAGAAATATAGAAAAGGAAGCACCAGACCCAAATAGCGGACATGCCCCTCAGGGGGACCAGAACTTCTTCCCAGCTGACACCACCACCGATGCTCATAAAGAGGCCTCAGGAATCTCTTCACATGCGGCCACAAATGACAACAGCTACTGCTAGGCACTGCCATACAAAAACTGACAAATAAGTTCGAACTCACAACTCAAAGGGCTCAGCATGGTGTCTGGCAGGTTCTTGAAGAACCGGTCACTCCCGCTGACCATCTCATGACTGAGTGGATGATTCGCCACGTCAGTCCGGTAGTCGTTGACCGCCTGAGGGGCTTAAAGTTGGGTGGACTTTGCGTACACTCATCTACCCGAGGTCTTCATGGACACAGGTGTCCGTTGCTGTCAGGATATCCCTGGATTCTGAAGGGTGGCTTTGCATCTTGCAGCTCTTCTGAAAATAAGCGACCCGCTCTTGTCCTAGTCCCAGTCACAGTCGACAACACTCAGCACATTATTACATGGGTCAGCACGGACTCGCAGGCTGTTCGTCTGCTACTTGTCCCCACATCAACCTCCTGAAAAGCGCATAACCACTTCCCGTGCTCTCGACCTGAACAAAGAGAATCGCGAAACAGTAGACGATGATAGCCAGGAGAATCAGGGCCCAGAACAAAGACTTCAGTGTGTGAAAGATCGATGTGACCAGCGTACGTAGAGCCATGACAAAGCGGAAGATCTTCATCAGGCGGATAGCCTTCACAATCCTTGTGATCCGCACAACGCGAAAGGCCTTGAGGCTGGAGACCCCGGCAAAGCCGCCAGCATCATCGCTTACCGCCTGTGAAGCCGCAACAATTTCGACACCAATATCCCAAAGTGAACTAATCACGACGACGGCGTCCAGCAAGCTCCACAGCGCATCATCAGACAGGAAAAGGTTCAGCCCAAAGGCCATCAAACGTGCAACGAACTCCAAAGTGAATAGAAAAGCATATGCATACCTCAGAAGCGACATATCTCGCGGTCAAGCTTTGCACTGACATGGGGTGGGGAGGCGCCAGCCCAAGATGCATCATTCTATTGCCTCGACAGGTCTGCATGCTGCTACTTGTTGTTTCAGGCGCGGTGTAGGAACTAGCCGCCTAGTGGCATCTGCGTGGCAACAAGTCTACTAGTAAACTGCAGACATCCGGTCTGTCCATTAACTACAAGTACCTCTCTGTGATGCTCATCTCAGCATGGTCTCTCAGAACCGGCTCCTGGCGTCTCGAGGTTTCTGTGCTCGATCGCACTCGCGGCGAAACTGGTGCAAGAGACCGAGACAACACAAAACCAAACAACTCTTGATAACTCGTGACCGTGCGTTAGTAGCGATACACATCGATACACCATAAGGCTAAAATCAGTGAAGCCTGCACTCAGCTGGGCACTGGAACATAGCACGAAACTCGCGGAGTCACACAGGTTGGATCTCGGCATCCGAAAAGTAGTGCTTCCTGGCCCTCCTTAAGCCACATTGCTAGGAGGAGTGGCTCTGCTCTGATTCTTTCTCCAACTGCAGCACGCAGCTTGGGCTCTGCAGCAGCTTAAGTAAGGGCACGTGATAGCTGTGCAACTGCTGTGCACTGACCCGGCCAAGTTGCTGCAAGACTTGGAACTCCACCGGTGTTGACGAGGACCCGAGGCTCTGCTCCACATCAACACCAATGAAAACTGCATTGGTCAGCACTACCATGCCGAAAAACACCTCGAAGGACGGATGCTGCACCAAAGCCTTCCAGAATCTCCTCCTGCTGCCTTGGAAGGCTCGGGAGTTCCGAAGAGATGCAAACCGTCTCCTCTCACTGTTCGACCCCACGTGTAAAGCCTGCTGCTTGTGCTCCAAGTCTGTTTGTGTGTAGGAGACGAAAATGTTCGGCCGCATTGACGACATGTCGGTTTGGCTTGGGGACACAGAGTCGGCCGTGTCCACTATGTCGCTATCCTGGTCAGCCGGATCTTCCTCCTTCGGAGTATGCCGAACAAGAATGCCTTCCCGCGATGCCTTTGATCTTTCGGACATGCCCGTTCGAGTTCGTGGAAGTGCAAGCAGTGGTCGCTCAAGAAGCCGTGACAGCATGTCATCTTGGTTGCTCAGCCGTACCAGGAGTTCCTCGTGCTGACTTTTCAAAAAGTCAATGGAACATACCAGGTGTTCGCCAGCCTTCGCTTCCAACACATCCTGCCGGCAGCAAAGTTCCATGGACATGACATATGGCACATAGGAAGAACTCAACAGGTGCAGGACTCCGGTATCAAGTCCTGTTTCATAGTGCCTGCTGAAGCCACCATCGCATGTTCGGATGTTTGGGGAGGGTTATGCCTTGCGCTCTGTAACCCTGGGCCCTGGCTGGGCAGCTGCCATGTGTCACTCGTTAGCTGCTTAGCCGTCAATGCTGCTAGCACACAGAGCGCCGGTGCGACTAGCACAGCCTCTCATCTGCCTGACGATCTTGCTGTTGCATTTGCTCGCAAGGCTGCAGAGGCGTGAGAGTGGCCTCCTGCCGCTCCCTTGCAGTCGGTATGTAACGGCGTCCGCAAGTGCACGTCTCCTGGATGAGAAGACAACATCGCCAAGATGTAAATCTTCGTGCCGGATTCAACAACCAGCCACTCCGTACAACAACAGCTTGATCTACTACCCGTAGTATGCATGCCGAGATCAGGAAACACAACCGGTCCGGCTACTCTTGGCGAGTCCGACATGCAGGCATGAGAAGCATTATGCTACAGTCTTGCACAAGCCTGCCATCAACAGCAACACTGCATATGCAGTGCGGTGAAAGCCGGGGGGGCAAGTGTGTCGATCTGGCAGACCTGTTGACATCATGCACCCTTTTTTTGGGTTTCGACAGGTAGCCAATGCACGCTGTATACTCTAGTTTTAAGCACAGGAAGAAAGACTGATGCGAATTCGCAGCGGGCGGAGCCAGTCCCCTTTCACTTTGACAAGCCATGTATCCGGAATCCAGCTCTAGGCCATCGCTTGTGCCAGACCACGCATGTGCATACTCGGACCTTCGACTTCGGGCATTGCGACATCAGCCCAGGACATAGGCCTGGCGCTGTTGTCAAACCTCCGCAGAGCGCGTCTTCGTTCTGGCCATGTGGGTCTGCATGAGCAATGATAGTTGGTTTCTGACGGTTGCCAACTCCTCTTGCATGTACTGCTGGAACTTGCCGTGGTTCTCGATTTGCCACTTCTGGTCCTGAAGCACCAATCCGACATCCATCGCTCGGGCCTGGCCGCGGAAGCGCAGGCACCCGAGAAAGAACTCCTTCCGTGGCTTAGGTCTGTTCGAAAAACATGGAAAGCAGGATAGACCAAGGGGTTTCTGCTCTACCTCTCTGTTTTGCATGTATAAAAAATCACGGCACGCATTCGAGTCCGATCGATCCTGTAACCCTTAACTCGTTACGTCCCGGGTCATTCGATGAACAACGATTGCCATTTCTCGCCGTCCCGTTCCTCGTCATCTTCTTAGGTTAGCTAGGGCTGAAAGCGCAGACGTTGCTGCTACATCCTTTATCCCAGTACGTCCCAGAAGCTAAGCTCCTATGAGCCACATCCAGGGACAGTTGGAGGGCTCCCTGGATGTGCTGAGCTGGAGTAGGCCCAGCCCCTGGCTCTCCCTTCTGAAGCAAGACTGCAAGAGCTTTACGCTGTCCCGTGCACTCCTCGAGCTCAACGGATCCGCCGCCGTCAGCATCCAGTAACTTAAAAAAAGACCAGGCATCCCAAGGGTGAATCCCCATCGTCTCGAAATATTCCCGCACCTCGTTGCCTTTGAGCTTCTCCTCAAACATCCCGAAAGTCAACACACCACTCCCTTGGCTGCTGCCTCCCATCTGCTGGAATATCGAGCGCAGCTTCTCGATGTGCGTCTCCTTGTTCTCCAGCATTTTCTGTGACAAGATCAAGTGGTCGTTCTGAGCGGACTCTATGGCAGACCTCCATCACATCAACGGCAGTTCAGATTCTTTCTAGAAACTGGGCCTGATTCATGATAGTCTCTGACAGCATTCCTCCCGACCGACGAATAAAAAAGCAAAGTGGTCCCGAATGAGATACAAGAAGCTGGCAAAAGACACCCGTAACCTCGGCTGCAAGGTCTGTGCCCCCAGGTGGGACAATACACTTCATTCAAAAAAGAATCAGTACTGCACCCAAGAAACCACGTTTAGCACAGCAAAGTACGTAAACGACACGAAGAAGATGTACGCCAAGAGCAAGAAAAGTGAAATGCTCCGCAGCGGCGCGAGCACTTCGTGCCAGCTGACACCACCGGAAATAGACATAAATAGGCTCAGCATGGTGACCGGAAGAGTCTCAAAGAACTTTCTGCTTGCCTCCAGGACGTCCTGATCTACTCTGTCGCCCATATCATCCAGATATGCATGAACCGATTGTGAAAAGAGTACGGCAAAGCAGTAAATGATCACTGTCAGCAGCAACAAGGCCCAAAATAGTGCTTTGAGCGTGTGCACAATGGACCGTACCAATGTGCGCAATGCGAGAACAAAGCGAAAAATTCGGATGAGCTGGGCCGTCTTCAAAATTCGGGTAAGGCGGATGATGCGCAAAGCACGTAGGCCGGACACCCCGGAGCTGTCATTGCTCCCTTGCAAGAGCTCGAGAACCATCTCGTAAAGGGAAGTCGACACGATGAAAGCATCCAAGAGGCTCCACGCCCAGTCCCGTGAGCAAAAGAACTGCCGTCCATAGGCTGCTGCCCGAATGAGCAGCTCGATTGTGAACAGAATGGTGTAAGTGTACTGAAAAGCCTGTATCACCGTCGGACGCGGTACCCCGGAGAGACCGAGCTCCACCTCGACACCGATGAAGACGGAGTTGGTCAGAACCACCAGCGCAAAGAACGTATCAAACATCTGATGATCCACCACGCGCCGCAAGTAGCTTTTTGGTGGTTCGGCTTCGGCTGATGAAGCTTCTGATTGCCTGATCCGAGTTCATGCACCAGGGCGACCCTTTAATTGCCAGGAATGACCCAGTCTTAACTCCAGCCCCGCCTGCGAACTTCGGTGTGGATCTTATTGGCCTCGTCCTTTAGGTGCCGCTCGTGGAAAGAATAGCTAGCCAGAGAGTGCTTTCGATTCGAGCTAGTGGGAAAGGTGTAGGAGTGCAGTGGGCGAGATGACCGAGCAGAATCAGCACTCACTCTGCGTGTAAAGTCGCCGTGCCCAGGGATGCTAGACACCTTTGTCAACAGGCCAGATGGCGCCACGTCCTTCAGCACCTGAACAAGCGTCTCATGCTGCAACCTCAGCGTTCGCATTGTCTGTTGCATAGTCTCTACCTGGTTCTGGATGATGAGTTCCAAGTTCTGCCTCGACGACGAAGAAAGCGAATTGGGCGATGTTTTGATGTGCCGCTCCGAAGCAGCTCCATCAGACTTCGCTGCGTAAACTTCACCCGTCTGACATACGTCTAGCAGTGAGAGATCTGATTGCTTCAGCCTTCCATCCTGCACGGTGCTGCGCGGGACCTGCAGGACCTGCCACGGACCCAAGCAATACAACTTCTAGGAACTGTGGCCGATGGCAGCTTCATTTTGCAAGTCTAGGTGTCGCGCGAAATTCTTCAGGTATTTCGGAACGATGCCCTATGAAACTGACTAAGTTGTTCTCAGGTGGAGCTTAGAATGGAACAGTGGCCAACCCCTTTCATTTGTGCTTATTAACTGCTAGCCCACCTGCACAGTTGGCGAGCTGGCTCCGTTCGCAGCCATGGCAAGCCTCTTCAAAATAGGGCGCTGTTCACCTGATGTGCACTTGTGTCCGTCATGGTTGAGATTTCCAACTTATAACAGGCAAGTAACCCAGCGAAAGGTACGCGAACAACATTCCACCCTTCAAAATGCGCATCCGCTGAGACAGCCGGCAACAAACGAAGGCACTTTCGCGGTGAACGAACATGCGAGCATGACATAGATGCATAGAGTGAGGCAGAGTTTTCCTTGCGACGGCTGTGTATGGCATGTGGCCCAGCTTTGCTGACCACACGCCACGCCTCAGGTTGAAACATGAAGGATACAGTATGCGAAGGCTGGCATCTGCCTTGACTAGTAAAACTGTCCGCTGCAGGTTTCCGAAAAGCTTGTGCAAGACTTCGTGCGCTAGTTTCAGCACTCATAGGACCCGTCTGTTGTACCGGGCAATGGCGAAAACCTGCTCGGCACAACAAGTGCAGATCACTCTTGATAAACTTGCTACTGCACGGAAGGAGGCTAACCGTTAAAGCTCCTTCCAACGACCCATTAGGGTCGGCTTCTTCGACGCAGGACGGAAGCTCCTTGAACTCGTCATCTGCTCCAAGAGAGCAGCCACGCTTTCTTTCAGCGTGTTCAGCTCCCCTTCGACGTATGATTGGAATTTGCCCTGGCTAGTTATCAACCAGTTCTGGTCCTGAAGGATTTTGCCGACATCCATAGCACTTGCCTGGCCACGAAATCGAAGGCATCCCATAAAGAATTCTTCAATATCAATGGCACCACCACCATCGGTGTCCAGCAGCTTGAAAAAGCTCCATGCATCCCAAACATCCAAGCCAAGGGTCTCCAAGTAGCCTTTAACCTCGGGCGTGTTGATTTTGTCCTCAAACATAGCATAGGTGATCGAACCTGTCTCGGTCGCCCCAAGAGAGCTGAACACGGCGCGCAACTTGCTTAAATGGGTCTCCTTGTTGTCCAGCAGGGACTGCACAACCGTTGCGTGATCATTCTGTGCAGACTCCAGGGCGGTCGTACAGAAGACAGCAGTCACCACCTGGGCTGACTAACTAACTAACTCTGTTCCGGTGCCGACACCACCTGGGCTGCTTTTATTTCCCCTGTGTTGCTGAAGCTGACCATCTCAGAGGCCAAGGTCTTACGAAGCATTCTAACAGAAAGCTTGATGATTTGACTGCCGCCAAGCCTCATTTAGAACAGCAAAGTATGTAAACGAGAAGAACACAAGAAATGCGATGCCCCAAACTTCCGACACATGTCGCAAGGGAGCAATCACCTCTTCCCAGCTCACACCACCGGCGATGCTCATCAACAGACTCAACATGGTGTCATAAAGGCTGCTGAAGTAACGCCGTGCCTGTTCGTTTGCTTCTGCTGGCAGAAGGTGGCTTGGATCAGCCAGAGCTTCGTTCACTGCCGATGTGAATATAACCGAGAACACGTACACAATGAGAAACAGCAGAATCAAAGCCCAGAGTAATGCCTTGAGCGTGTGAAAGATTGAAGTCACCAGGGTCCGCAAGGCCATGACGAAGCGGAACACTCGCACGACCTGCACTGTTTTCAGTATCCTGGTGATGCGGATGATGCGGAAGGCCTCCACAAAAAGACCAAAGTCGAGGCTCGTGAACTTCCATGCAATGCTGCAGTTCGGACAAAGCCGCACACAAAGCTACCACTGCACCATGCTACGGCATGCTACGCTTTCCTTACTCCAGGATCGTGACTTGCAAGTGCCGCGCCGTCGACTCGTGAGGGACTAGTTTGGACATTCGGACTGTCCTCATTGCCAGCATGCACACCCGCCTCGAGGTGTGTTGCAGTGGCCGGTGCCCTACCACCCCAATTCCATAACGAAAAGTCGCCTCACCCAGAAACGCGCCCCTGCCAGGCCCCTGCAAAACAAAAACACGAAACGAGAGCACCGCGCGCGTGTCAGCACTGTTAAGAAACCTCAGCGCATCTCAGTGTTGTAAGCTGGAGTCGTGCGACTCTGTGCGCAACGGCATCAATGCTCTCCAAGTTTGAAGTTCCTGCTACCCGAGCTGACGCTTTTAGCCCGCACAGTGTGCGAAAGAAGGTCTTCTTCATTTGATACTGCGCCCTTGTAAGCTGCCGCTCGACTATGCCAGATACACGGGCTTTCGAGCAGTAGAACAAACAGGAAATTGCCGCGGTCAGCGAGCATGATTCGTTTCATGAAAGCAGACACTTCGCAAGCACTGCCCAGGCGCCTTCAAGCTGGAGACGCCGTCAATGCCACTTAGCATTTCTGAGCCTGTTGCCTGCACGGCCTCAAGGATATCGAGCACGACATCTAGGAGAGCTCCTACAACGATGACCACATCGACGAGAGCCCAGATCCAATCGTCAGAAATGAAAAACTGCATGCCGCCTGCGGCCACTCTCATGGCAAGCTCGGCTACAAACAGAGCTGTGTAGATGTACTGCAGAGTCTTGAGGATGACGTGGGGGTTTGGATCTGTGATGCTTCGTTGCACCTCGACACCAAGAAAGACAGCGTTTGTCATCACCACGAACCCGAAGAAAATGTCGAAAGCTGGATGGCCAACGATCCGTTGAGCAAGAGGCGTATGTGGCACAGCCACTTCAGTTTGATACACAGACATTCGACTGTGTACCTTCTGGGCGTCCTGTCTCAAGCCAAGATCATGCTGCGTGTAGGAATTAAAAAGCGATGCTGAAGGAGAGGCGCTGCTTTCTGCGGTACCTTGCAGCGGCGGGGACTTCAGCCGCGTCCGAATTGAATCCACCTCGTTCCGAATTGAATCCACCTCGTTCAAGTCGGTTGGGAAAGCTTGCTCACTCTCGGATCCGCCGAAGAGCTCCATCGATGCGAGCTCCTGCTCCACAGTTGAACAGTGGTAGAGTATCTCCTTCAACAAGTCCTCCTGATTAGCTAATTTCCTCAGCGTTTTCTCGTTCTGCTGGGCCCAGACCATGAAGTTCTGTTCCAGCAGAACGGCCACTTTATCTGAAACAAGGTCCGCAATCTGCCCCTCAGGAGTCCCACCCTCTCCATCCTCACAGGGCATTGCAATCTAAAGTGCGCACTCCCGAAAGCCTACGGTTTGGGGTTTAGGGGCAAACATCCGAGAAGTGCCGTCGAACAGTGAATTTCTGAGGAATTGAAAATGACTGGCAGTCAGAGGAGTTGGTTCGGCGATGCCGTTCGGCCACGAACTAGTAAAAGACTTCGGAAGAAGCTTACACATCCAGCTCGACTGCACGTGCGAAAGACATTTGCCACACACACACATCGGGCAAAGCATCGAGCACAGAGACTGCAAAGAAGGACGAGGCGAATAGGAAGTCAGCTACACGTAACACCTATTTAGTAAGCGTCTGGATATGAGGTGCGCTCTCGACTCGCAGCGGGGGCCACCAGGTGGGTGAGTTCCGCTTGCAGAAAATACTGAACGACTCAAAGCTACAGTCACACCAAAACAAAGTCCACCAGCCATAGTGGAGCAGAATTACAATGATATCAAAAAGACCAGGAAGTACATGGCGAAAAGGAGTGCTCGCCGACTCACTCAAAGACTACAAGAGATCGCAACGTGGCAGAACCAAGACACACAAGCCTCGCGGAAGTTGTGAGACCGCTCACGAGGCAGGTCCATGGTCTGGCTGTCTCACTACACGCAAGCCTTAAAAAAACGGAGGTCTGACCCTCTTTGGACAACTGCAGCTTTGACTCAGTCAACCACTGCACAAACCATTCCGCGAAATTTCAACTAAAATCGAGCCGAGAAGGCTGCAAGCAGCCCAGATAGGAGAAAGCCGACAGCAACTTCAGGATGCATTGCCGAGCTGTTGGGCTGTGGCGCTAGGCAGCATGCCTCCGCCACGTAGCTGCTGGAAGTTGCACCTGGCAAAGTCATTCGTCTTCCCAGCCGCATAATCTGTCGACATCGTGTGTCACAAACCGGCAGATCGACCAGTCTACTGCGAGTTTGGCAACGCGTCCTGAAGTTTGCGGCCTGCAGCTGATATACATATGTATGTATGTGCATGTGATATTATGTGATAGATGTGTATATATATATATATACATATGTATCTCTCTCTTTCTCTATCCTGGGCATAGGGGGCGGTAAAGGCCCCTGGGCTGAAAAAAACATGTATGTAGCTCTTTGCTTTGCTCTGGGGTAAGAGCCACAGGCAGTCCCTGTGGCCCGCTCGTGTATGTATCTCTCTCTTTCTTTCTGTCTCTTGTCTTGTCTTTAGGACGGGTGTCAAGCTCCCCGTGCCGACAAGCGCACCCATGCTTAGAGGCTTTGTAGGGAAGTGTGAAACCAGGGTGAAGGAAACGCAACAGGTATGGATGCATGGCCAAATAGAAGCACATGGATGCTAGGTCAGAGGGAAAGGGGCTTCCCCCGATGATGCTGCTCGAGAACACTTGGCAGGACTCTTCTCTCAGCAAAGGTTGATCAATCATATGATCACATACACGCAAACAACAACATTGAGTGACACGAGACTGTTCCTCGACCAAGTTGATACTGGCTCTCTCTTGCTTGCTTACTTAGGGGCATAGGGGCCCGTCAAGCGCCCCCCCCTATAGGGGGGCGGCGGGTCAAACTTGAGCCTCTCTCTCTCTCTCTCTATCTCTCTCCCCACGCCCTTTGTCTTGCTTGCTTGCTTGCTTGCGAAGGCGTGTGGGTCCCCGAGGAGACGCGCTCTCTCTCTTCGGCTTCGGCTTCGGCTGCGAGGGACGAGTCCGCCAGGCGGACCCGGGCCTTCGGCCCCCCTCTCCCCACTGCGGCGGTGGAAGAGAAGGCTTTGGGGTCAGAGGTCGGCCAACGAAGACAAAAGGCGTGTGTGAGTGGTAGTGTTTGCCTGGCAGGAATCCCCCCAAAGCCCTTTACACTAACGCGCTTCCCGGCCTCATCGCCGCGCCCTCTAAGGCTGAGTCCTAAGTTCCTGCGACAGGCAAAAACCCCCCACTGAAACGAGTGCACGGTGAACGTCCCCCCATAAACCACAACACTCTAAGGACCACGCCAAAACAACGAAACCGCTAATATGCATCACCTGGGGTCGTCACCTATGCTGCAAAGTCTCTTTCTAGGTTCCTCTCTCTCTCTCTCTCTTCCGGGCTTGGAGGTCGGGCCAGCGTTCAGGGCACTCCCTCCGTGCGCGCGCGCACACCCGCTATTCGCGGGTAGCCCCCCCAGGGTTTGGCCCTAGGATGGCTCGGCTGTACATTGCGGGGTTTGCCACACATTCAGAAAACAGCTCTTCAGGTACAGGACTATCAACATGCGAGTGTGGCTCCCCCCTTCTCTGCTGCAGTACCAAGCCGAAGCCCTTTAAGTCCGCAGGACAAAGACACAACAGCTGCATGCACAGACGCTCTGAGGGCCCGGCCAAGGACAGTGGGTTTACAACAAGCAATCCGATTCCTAGCTACATCACAGCAGGAATCTGTCCTTGGTTGTAGCACTGTACCCCCCCCCCCCCAGTCCTCTGCTCGAAGGAAAGAGCGCTGTACGAGCGAAGTGCTATGCACGAGGCCCCCGTTTCCCCCACTACGCTCCTACGGCACTTAGTAAGGGCCGTGACGTCCGTAGTGAGCTCGCTCTCTCTCTCTCTCTCTCTCGACCGGGCGTGGGGGCAGAGCAGCGTCCTGGCTCAAGCCCCCGTGCGAGTTCGCACACCCGCGTTTCGCGGGATTTCGCAGTCCCCCAAGAAGGTTCTTCCTTTTCAGGGCTCGGCTTTACAGAGGTTTAGAGGGTTCTCGAGGCTCTCCCCATGTGTGCAGCAGTAAAAGTTTCCCCCCCCAGCAGACAGATCAAACACAGTATACGGAGAGCCTCTCCCCCTTCCGGACTCTGGTTCTCTGCACAAAAGTCACTACCAACGGCGCTGAGAACTGAGGCCCGGGCCAACATGAAGCTGCAAGACAAAGATTTAGAAGGACAAACACAGAAAATACTATCGACAGTTCCCCCGGCAGCTTGAGTTGGCTCTGTATGTGCTACTCGGAAGGCATGTCCCCTCTGAGTATCTTGAAGCGGGAGCGGAGTACGACGTTGATGCTACATAACATCTCCCCCTTTAAGAACTCAGTAGGGTCCATGTTTTCCATACAGGGCTGCCTGTAGTCTTCGTCTACGGTGACTCCCGCCGTCATCATCATCTTGACGCGGGCTGCGTGATCGCCCTCTCTCAGTACTCGTTGGTCTCGTGTGTCCCCCTTCCGAGTGCCCGTGCCATGGGACTGTTGGCACTTCACTCTCCACCGGATGCCATGGAACCGTCGGCGCCTCGCTCTCCGGCTGGGTTGGTAGTGTGGCGAGGTTCCCCACCGCATTGACTGCCGCTTGTAGGCTTGGCGTCATGAGGGCTGCCATTTCTTGCCCGGTGAGCGCTCCCCGCTGCTGGTCGGCGATCTCGTGCTGGATCGTCCCCTCCTCCATGCTGCCGCGAAGCTCCTCCGTACGGTCGGCGTGGTTCGCGGCCTCCCTGCTGTAGTCTGGCGCCTCCCTTTGCGCCGGTTGTTGGTTCTCGGCTTCGGCTTCGGCTTCGAGGGTTGAGTCCGCCAGGCGGACCCGGGCCTTAGGCCCCCCTCTCCCCCACGCGGTGGTGGTAGAGAAGGCTTGTGGGGTCAGAGGTCGGGAAACAAAGACAAAGGTTTGTGTGAGCTGTGGAGTTTGCCTGGCAGGAACCCCCCCCTAACCCTGAACTTTAGCCCGCGTCCCGGCCTCATCGCCGCGCCCCCTAGGGCTAAGTCCTAAGTTCCTGCGACAGGCAAAATCCCCCACTATGGTCTGGTAAACGGTGGTCGCCTCCCGAAAAAACCACAACACTCTAAGGGCCGAGCAACGACTATAATGCAGTAAGAACACAGTTGTGGGCTGACTCCCCCGTTGCAAAAGCTTCCATCTAGGTTTCTGTTGAAAAGTTGAGCGAAAAGGTCATCCCCCAAAGTGGTGCCGGCAAGTCTCTGACGCAATGCCAATTTGTGCAAGTGCAAGGGCGTGTGGCCCTGTTGGTAGTTAGTCGGAATGGCTCCAGCGGCCCGTCTTGAATTAGGCTCATCATTGTAAGCTCGCAGAAAGACTGTTGAAGAAACTTCCCCCGCTCATTGCTTGTAGGTCACGTCGTGGTATCACCCCGCATATGCGCTTGTACACGTCTCACAGCATGCCACATGGGTCCAGGTAGTAGTCGGACCTGGTTGGGGTCGCGTTGTGTGCCCCCCGGTCGTCTTTCCCCACCTCGTCCTCGGTCTCGTTGTCTTGGGCTGCGGCTTGGTAACGATGGTCGCGCCCCAGCATCCGTGGAACTGTTCGAGCCCCCCACGGTGCTCGGCTTTTCGGTTGTCGTCGTCTTCTCCTCGTCGTCGCCCCAGTCCACTTCCTCTTCTTTGAAGCTCTCCGTGGCTTCCGCAGTCGGGTTCACGCGGGCTATATCTGTTGAGCTCCCCGCCTTCATCTCATGCTTGATCCGCTTCCCCTCGTGAGCTGTGTCTGTTGAGCTCCCCGCCTTTATCTCACGCTTGGTCCGCTTCTTCTCCACTGCGCGTTGGTTGGCCTTCTTGTCATTCTTCAACTTTTTGGTCTTTTTGTGGTCCTTCTTGTCCCGGTCCTTCTTCTCCGTCTTGTCCCCCTTTTTCTCGGCTTTGCTGCCCTTCGCCCCCTCCGTGAGTGTTGTGGGTTGGTTCTTGTAGCATTGCTTTGCTTGGCTTAGCATCGCCCCCACCTTCCACGGGTGTTTGGCTATATACCAAAGGAGCTCCGCGACGATCTTTGGGTTCCCCTCCTGGACTATGTCGACGAGTTTGTCGGCTTGTCTGCCGGTCTCTCTTCTCGCATTGTGCCTTTGCACATATTGCTCCCACTCCTGAGTGTTGGCCTCGTCGAGGATCTCCCCCGTTATGCGGTCTTTGTATTTCCCCGTTTTCCAGTTCTTCTTGATGTTCTTCCCGATCCACCGGTCCAGCGGGTCTGGTTCGTACAGGAGAGCTCTCCCCTTTTCAGTCTCGAAGCGAACGTAGTCGGAGTAGGGCTTTGTCCTCCCCGCGACTTCGCAAGTCCCTCCCCCATCGGGTTGGTAGAGGTCATGCTCATCAGCCACGTCCCTCTGCTTCCGTATGTTGCTGGGTGCCGCCGTGCTGGCGATCCCCCCCGTGGCAACACGTTGTTTGTAGCATGAGGCGCCACTGTCGTGGCTTTTGTGGCAAAAAGGTCCTTCAAGGCATGCTCGACATGTCACCCCCATGGCCTTAAGTTTCTCCGCGACTGCACACTGCTCCTGCCAGGTCGTCTTGGTTCTGCCTGGCTTTGCCGATGGGTCTCTCTCTATTCGGCTTCTCCCACCTCTGGGGCTGTCTTTCCCCCCCGGCTTGGATCTTGAAGAGCTCGACATGGATCGTGAGGTGGTAGTAGGACAAGGTCTCCCCGTGGTCCACAGTGCTGAAGTATGCTCCGTCCCCCTACTGGCGGGCCACCCTCCCGGAGGAGGGGCCGCGGTCAGGTTCGGGAGGGTGCGCTGGCAAAGGGGCCTCTTAAGCAAGACGGCAGCGGGCGGAGACTCAAGCACCACTGGGTCAAGGCGAGGGTGGCTCCTCCGGGGTAACAGCCCAGAGTAACCCCCTGCCTCTCCCCCCCGGCACAAGAGGGCGAACAGACCCCCAAGTACAAGGTGTGGCACTTGAGCCAAAATTCTCTCTCTCTCTCTCTCTCTCTCTCTCTCACTGTCAGTGGGCGGAGAGATTCCACTTCGTTCCATCATGACAATCCTACCACTGAGATCATCCGCGGCCCTGGCGCATCAAGCAAGATTTCCTTCATCTCCGTTTCACAGTGATCGAAGAGGAGGCTGGGGACTCGCATGGCCTTCAAAGCCTGGCAAAACAAGCACGAGAGGTTTAAGCTGGTTACCGAGCAGTGGCGGCCCTGGCGGCTGCTGCTGAGATCGCAGCCCCATCCCATGATGACATGGTGATTTCGTACTTGTCCTGCTTCGGGCAAGCAAGTCAATGCAGGCGTGGGGGGCTCTTGAAAGGCTCCAGAGCCCTAGTGGCCCTGGTGTCCTTATCGTCGGCCCGGACCTTCAAAGTAGACCGAACTCGCACCGTTTGCTAAAACACTACAAGTCAAGTCGTGTGATTCCAGCATCTATCCAGGTGCCTGGAGTCCAGCAAGCAGGTTGCCGTGCGTCTCGTTGAGTGGCTTCGGCGTGCTCATCTCAACAAACTTCGCCCACCTTTGGAACTTTGCGATCGTTTTCAACACTTAAATCAGCTGCTGAGCAAATCTTCTGATTGGCAGCCGCCTCTTTCCGCGCGCGGAATCGGGGCCGGCAACATCCAGATGGTCCAAGGAGCCCTGCAATGCCGGTCTACTTTACAGACTTTCGACTGTCTTAATGTCGAAACTGTAGAAGGCTTTCCAGAGGCTTCATGCCCGTCGAAGTCCAACAAAGGAGAACCATTGTGGAAGCCTCGAAGAGCTGCAAGTCGACTTGCGCCTGCACATGGGACGTCGGAGGGAGGCGCCCCCCAGAAGACTCTCTTGTGGTTGCGCCTGCTTCATCTCCTGGAGGAAGTCGAACATGCTGTTGCAAATCGCCTCCGCGCTGCCCACCTCGTTCATTGAATGCTCATGGCGGGATGGAAGCAGTTCCCTCACCCATTGTTCACAAGAGTGCTTGGCTACGGAGTTACCATGATATACTGACAGACTGTTAGGTTCAGGGCCACCAACAAATCTGAGGAGAAGGCAGTGACGGCATCGAGTTGTGGCGCCAGGGCAGCTGCGAAAACGTCGCCATATGCGCGGCATAGCGGCATTTCTGCATTTCCCACCCTGGAAATTCACAGAGGTCTAGCCCGACGGCCAACGCCCAAGTTCGGCAAGTGGCCTTGGCCCGCAGATGCTCCCAAAGCTGTCGTAAACCTTGCCGTCTTGCGGGCACTCCCGTCTTGAGATAGCCCAACTCAAGCAGGATAAATCACCTTCAGCTGCGCAGCCTGTTTGACGGTCCGGTAGTCGTCGTGGCCTTGCGTTGGGCTCGAAATCATATGCACTCCCACCATCCCCAACATCAAGAGAAACACTCAGAAACAACGAAAAGTCGCAACAAAGCGTATTCCCCGAGATGCTACCCAGAAAGCCTCATGGAGACAAGGATTACAATCAAATTCACAAGGTGTGCCTATAGGCTTTCGTCTCACTCCAGGGTTCCCCTGTGCGGAGCAGCATCATGCTGCGACGCACTGCCTTCCAGACCGCCCTTGAAGAAGTGGCTGCATTGTGCAGCAAAGGCTGCCTGCCCGAGCTTTTTCAGGTCGCGATCGATTGACCCGCAAAGTGCTGGTCGCTTGCACTCGGAACGAGGCTACAGCGGCTACAGCCGTGCAAGCATGCTTCGGTCGCAGGCTGGCTGCCAGGCAGCACCCGGCAAGACTTCAACGATGACATTCAGCGGCAGAGACCCCATGCGTTGCACATCAAAAAACAGCACTGGGACATCGTGACATGCCGCGTCCGATGCTGTGTCATAAGCGGCCTGAACCAAAAAAAACAGGCAGCCTTCGTTCGGTCCAGGGGCTTGCCCATTCCATCCACACAGCTCATGCCTGCCACATTCTGACAAGTTGTGACAGACAGGACAGAGTGCTGATCAGTGCACAAGATGAACAAGATGTCTGAGCAGCAGCAACAAACACTCTACGACCAGGGGCAACAACGAAAAGCCCTGAGAGAAGTAGCTGCAAGAGCTCCGATTGAACGAAACTCGCCTCCAGCTGGACGCAATAGCAAATCCGAACAAAGCAGCCTGTTGCTGCATTCCGCGTTGCTACTCTGATGAGCGCAGATAGTCGGACAGACAGACAGACAGACAGACAGACAGACAGACAGGCAGGCAGGCAGGCAGGCAGGCAGGCAGGCAGACAGGCAGAAAGGCAGACAGATTGATAGATAAATAGACAACTTGACTAAATGCATGTATGTTTGCGTGGATGCGTGCATGCACGCAGGTAAAGTCCAGTCAAGAGTAGCGAAGTTCTCGCGGCGAAAGCGGGCATGCGATTGCAGCTACACTTGCCCCGTCAGCGCCAAGCGGGCCTCGGCAGAACTCCTTTCTAGCAAGGAGTGCATCCTGCACCAGGTGTCACAACGACGTGGCAGGGCTTGTGGTGGAATGGAAAAGCTGCTGCATGACGAGTCAGTCCATGCCGATGGCCAAGGCTGCCTTTGCCTGCTCCTCCACCCCCTGGAAGCACGGCTGTTGGAAGGTTAACTGGCGGTCAAGTGTGGCTCTCTGACAGTTTTGGGCTGGGTGCCTGCTCTGTCTGCGTGTGGCCCATGATCTGCTGTCCGCCAACGACTCCTTGCGACATCGAACAGGAATCGAACCCATGGAATCTATCGCAAAGTTGTACTTTCTGCAAATGGAAAAGCAGGAAAGCTGATGCGAACTGAGCGCGTAACCTACTTCACTGTATGGGCAGCCATTCCCTCGGCAGAAGACCCCACCACGAGGGGGCCTGATTCGCAGAAAGCGAGACATCATGCACTGACCCTTCGTGATGAGAACTAAGCAGAGCTGAGCTGAGACTCAAGCAGCATCATAGCAGCCGGCAGTTCACTGGGTGCTCCATCTTTCTCCACCTAAGGATGGGCTCGCACTTCTTTTCGCAACGGCCTGGAGCAATCAACCAAGGACTGTTGTTGCAAAGAGAGTTGCTAGGCCTCCGGCAGTCAGGGCATAACACACGCCCAAGATGTTCGCCAGAAGGCGAACCATCCTAGGCAGTATCGATTGCTGCTGCGATTGGAGCGGGACCTCCTCCTGACCATGTCCTGAAACCGGGTTCAAACTAATTCCGTCCAATTCCAGTGCGATCTCCTCACCTCTCCGAGTCAGAGAAATGTTCGCTCAGAAGGCGTGACGTGATGTATGCAAGATCCTTCGGGTCTACTTCAATACACCTCGTGACTCTCGTCGTCATGCGCTTTTTGGTGCTCTCTGCGAGCATTTTATAGCAACAAACAAAGATTCACCTACAGTGCTGGCGAAACTTGTTCCACCTAACGAGACTTTGAGCGAACTGGCGCTGCCAGGTCATAACAGTGTCACCGGACACGTGGACACGATGGCGAACTGGAGATCAAGCCGCTCCGGGTTCCGGGCTGCATTCAACGGACGCCTGCACAGGCACAGTCCAGAAAAAGGCCCCGTCAGCATCCATCCAGACAGTGTCTGAGGGCCTACAATCTAAAAGGAGCGCATCATGCAAGGACAACGAAAAAAACCATGTAAACAGCATGACCTGGGTGGCTTACATCGAGACCTTTTCGCGGAACGTCGGGCATGTTGTGAAGCCCTGGCAACGGTGGCCTTTTTCAGGCCGTTGAATTAGCCAGGAAAGGGAATTGAAAACCCAAAATCTGGTCAAAGCGTACAGGTCACTAGGCGAGGTTAGGCCCGAAACTCGTGCACGGAAATTCCCTTACCAACTTCTTCTTTCGGGTCGCCCCAAACCTGTGAGCTTCCGGCTGTTGAACTCAGCAGCTTAACTGCTGAATTTGTGAAACGGCGGCCGTGTGGCACGGCCAGGTTTGCTTACATTTAGTATCTGCCCGCCTGATCTTTGTCTGTCTTCCCACATGCGGTCTCTTCTTGTTTGGGGAATGAGGGAATCCTGCTCTCTTGTGCTGCCAACATGACCGAATTTACCTGCCACCGCCTGTCATCGACACAGCGACTTTGCACCGAGTGGCCTGGGTAGCGGGTAACTTGCACAGCATTTAACCGAAACACACGATTCTCTTTTCCGCAAAGGCATGACGAGGTACGGTATTCTACTCCAAACGCTTGAGCACCGCCAAAGATTCGAGAAATGCTGCGCAAGCCTTGAAAATATCACCCAAGGATATCCAAGGATCCGACGATGCAAATTCTGCTGGTCTCGTGCACGACCCCTGTGGCCGAGGCCCTCCTGACGAGCAAATCCGACGTCTTGCCTCAAGCAATTCACGTTTGCAAGGCCTTCCGAAGGGGCCTGATCCGATGAGAGTCCGACCTGTCTTCTCATCCTCACTGCGCTTGGAAGAAGTCGTCGGTGAAACGCTTCGATTCCTGGCCCACAGGTCGCTGCTAGGCAAAAGCGGGTTCGACAACTCAACATGCCAATGATGTTGGCCTCCACAACCGAAGTTCCGATGCCTGTGGCCTCTTATGATGCCGCCTTTATCGTGGTCGTGGTCACTGCGTTGAAGACAACCACGATAAGGGAGGATGCTAGAACTGAGAAGAAGGATGCTGGTGATGGAGAGGAGGATGAGGAGGAGGACGAGATGCTCAACCCGTGTGAAGCCCTGGCAGTTGGAATTTGAGAATCCCATCAGAGAGTCCTGGACCGTCTTCCCCTTTCACACACGCCAGGGCTTGCAAGCCATGAGCTAACAAGTTTATGTTTAGGGTCTACGGCTGGTCCGCCAACCGACAACATGCTGATACTTTTGCGAGCGCCACGCGACGCGTCCTCGTAAAGATGCGAGGATCACGACGAGGGATATATTTCGAGCACAGACACTGACCTACGTGTCCGAAGCCTATAGTCACATAGCACTCCTCGACGCCTAGCTTAGGACAAGCCTCGACGACTTCGCTCTTCTTTCCCTGGACTGCCGCCCTTTCTGTTCAGGGCTGGGATCTCAGACTGAGACTGCAAGACCCAACATCGAGAAGAACCCTGACTTGGCCGTTACACTTGTCACCTATGTTCTGGCAGGGTGGTCGCAATCGCAGTCCAGTGGTCCCGACTATCTTGAAATCTAGTGACTGCTCCTGTCCCGCCGCCTGAATGCTGACCTCCACCCACTCAATCGATTGCGCGTTCATGTGCTCAACAAACCTGGGCATCGCTCAAGTCTTAGGCGAGAGGGTCCGGGAAGTCGATGAATTCTTTTACATGCCGAGAAGCCGATGTGCATACAATGAAAGAAGCTCTCGCAGCTCGGGGTCCTGCAGGGTAGGAAAGGACGACCCCGCGAATAATCAATCGTGAGCACCCTAGATGTACTGGAGTCACTATGGCTGCATGCATTTGGATGCAGGACGACGCAATCTGCAGCTTCAAAATACGTTCATGTCAACGTAGGGCGCCTTATGCACGAGTTCGCAGAAGGTAAGGACTTCAATGCGAATCACGCTGGCTTCGGCCATGGCCTACAAGTCATGGCAATTCCCGGAGAAGCAGACCGAAATGTAGTGAAGAGCTGTGCCAAAGCTGGCCTGGGCGACGCCGACGTGCTGGAAGGGACTCCAGAGAGCCACTTCGCACAAATAGTCCGCCTTGTGGTCTCAAGAGCTCTTGCTCTCAAAACATGCGAAGAGAGCACCCCCTCTCGGGCACTTAAGCTTTTTGGACTAGGGCATGACTGCTCTCAAAGCCGGCACTACTCTGCCTCGCCTTGCCCAGCGCCTCAGATGGTCGACCACAACCAGGTCTCTTATCTAGAAGTCCGAGGGTGTTGCTGCAAATCGAAATTGTTCAACACTCAGTACGTCAAGACATGCTTTAGGTGGAAAGTCGAATGAGCCGTATGGCCGTCGTTATTCGTGGGCCGCTAGGGTCTTGGCTTATATCAGAAGGTCTTTCGGTGGAGTTTCGGGAACTAAAATGTGGCTGCCAGCAGGATTTCTGTCGAGCTGCAGTGGACATGTTCGGGTCCACGTCGGCATCTGCTTGTGGGTCAGCAACGGTCCTTTCAACATCAGCTACGCGATCTTGATCTACACGGAGTGGCCAGAAACTGCAACTTTCTCCCCTGGCCTCCGAATCTTTGATGTGTCTCTTTCATGAACTGTGTAGCGAATGGCTCCAGTCTCAATGAAGAACATGTGCTTGGAAGCATCGACCAGACCTTAGTGGTCCCACCACAGCGAGATATGACATTCGCATGTGCATGTACTCTGTGTGTATATATATATACATATACATATGTGTGAATATACATACATATATATATATATATATATATTTGTTTATATGTATACATGCATGTGTAGCTATGTGTATTGATAGACGGAGACAGACAGATGCAAGTCTCTATGCATATAGCGGTGGGCTGCTATATGGATAGGTGTACGTGCATGTGTGTATACGTCTGTATGTACATATATATATATATATAGCTAAGTAATGCAAGCATACAGGTGTGTGCGTGCACACTGCAGCAGTATGCAATACGACACACCTCAACACAACACAAGGGACAACACAAAACACAAGACTGAATAATAGCATAAGCCATAAGCATACATCACATACATCCATGGATCTATGCACCCGTGTGCATGCATACACGCATGTGAATGTGTGGATGTGTGTAAGTATATACAGTTGTATATGGGTGCATGTGAGTATGCATGCATGCATGCATCTATATGTGTATGTGTACATGCTCATGTGATGATATACGCCTTCCTGACTAGCATGCATTCCTCGATGCTAGATCCGTCCTGGGTCACCCTTAGTGGAACTGTATCATTTCTTACGGCCCAAACCCTCACCCATGCGCCCAAGTTCTCTCTTCAAGTCATGCTTCAGACTGTTCGGCTACACCACACAGTTACTAGGCCCTTCAAACGACCTTCATTACTTGGGCTTGGCGCTGAGATTCGCGGATGCAGCGATGGAACAAGGAGAGACGATTCAAGCCATCCACTTTTAAGTCCGCTGGAAGCGTGTGCGTGTGTGTGTGGCATGTGGTGGGCAATGTTGTGTTTGTGTTATTCTGCTGTACATGCGACAAACCTGCATTCACATGTCCATTTTTTCTTAGGTTTTTCTGTTTGCAAACCTTTGTAGGTACATGCTTTGACCCATGGATTTTTCTTGTTTTCATGCTCCTTTCGTTTTAAAGTTTGCAGGGGCACACGGCATCTGCGACCTACCGTGTGCAACGAAGCTACGGTTGCAGATGGGATATCCGACTTGGCCAGTCGGACGTACCTGCAAAAAAGCTGGGCCCCTGAGCCAGCAAGATTAGCGAAATGGATTTCTGTTTTCTGAGGCAGGTTTTAGGTGTGTCCATCGAATGTTTTCATTTAACAGTCATGTTCATGAGGGCATATGCATTCGCTTTCTGCACTTTTGCCGCAATCTGACAAGTACACTCAGCACAGAAGTCATCTACAGAAGGCAGGCGGGTCAGTGGAAGCCTTTCCAGTTGTGTTCGGCAAGAGCTCCCTCATGAGGGCCTTGTCGCTATACGGCGAAGTTGCCGGCCCACCGGGGTTCTTGTGTTAGCAGCTCCGGAAATCATTTCCGTTTCACAACATGTTCAAGTGGAGATCACTGAGTGGAAATCACATTTCTGGAAATCAGATCGGAGTCGCATTCCGGAGTTGCATTTGGAGATCATTCCGGCTTGAGCTCTGCAGTCAGGTGTTGTTCTCATATCCCGCCATGGATCGTGAACGCTCCCCCCGCCGCAACCCTTTCTGGAGCTCCTCCTTGCCTGCTTTGGTCCCACCTACCCCTGAGAGTTGGCAGCACCCCGCACCCCGACCGGCCCCACCAGTGAACAGACCGGCAGTGCTTCAGCCACAGAACCTCACG